TGGGCAAATCTGCTGCACAGGAACTTTTTAAAGTGTTGAAGAGCAATGATGTCAGCTTGAGGACTGAGGTGCGCCTGACCCAAGCCATGGTATTTTCAATAACCTCATAAGGATGCTAAAGCTGGACAGTGAATAAGGAAGATCGTAGAAAAATTGATGCCTTTGAATTGTGGTGTTGGAGGAGAATACTAAAAGTGCCATGGACTGCCAAAAGAACCAATAGCTCTGTTTTGGAAGAGGTGCAGCCAGAGTGCTACTTGGAGGCCAGGATAGCTAAGCTTCGTCTCTTATACTTTGGACATATTGTCAGGAGGGAACAGTCGCTAGAGAAGGATGTCATGCTGGGTAAGATGGAGGGTCAGAGAAAAAGAGGAAGACCCCCAACGAGATGGATCAGCCAGGTGACATCATTGATGGCGTCAAGTGTGGCAGCGGTAATGAGGTTGGCCCAGGATCGGACATTGTTTCGTTCTGCTGTGCATGGGGTCGCTATGAGTCGGTTCTGACTTGATGGCACCTGACAACAACTACAACAAGTGTGTGTGTGTGTGTGTGTGTGTGTGTGTGTGTGTGGTAGTGGTGGTAATAGGTATTGTACATTATAGGTTATAATGTATATGTTATCCCATTAAGCATCCAGTGGAAAGATTCATTTAGTAAAATGAGCCACAGTTTTTATAAGTACATAAAGTACTCTTTTTGGCAGAATACCCAGTAAGATAGTATTTAAACTAGAAACGGAAAGTGGAAGTTGTTGCAGTATATATGGGCTATAAAACTTTTCATTTGTGTCCCATTGTTTGTGTAATTAAATAAACATAGTTAATTGATTAAAAAGAGCTTTTATTTGCCATTTTACACAAATTGTTGTTGTTCTTGTTGTTAAGTGCCATCGAGTCGGTTCCGACTCATAGCGACCCTGTACAGGGTTTCCGCGGCTGTAAATCTTTATAGGAGCAGCAAGCCTCATCTTTCTCCCACGGAACAGCTGGTAGTTTCGAACTGCTGACCCTGAGGTTCGCAGCCTGATTCATAACCACTAGGCTACCAGAGCTCCTTTTTTTTTCCACACAAATTATAAGACATTATTATCAAGAAAGTGAAGTAAAACCAACAAAATGGAAGAAAATTTCTGCAAATTACTTATCTGACAAGGGTTTCATACCTACAGGATGTTTGTTTTTTTTACATTGAAGTGCAGATCATACCAAAGATCACATTCTTTGATCTTTATCAGTAATTATGGCCAGTCCTCTTCCTTTCTGGCAAGCAAGGTTGTGCCCTCTTCATATTGCAGGTTGTTAATGAGTCTTCCTCAATCTGTTGTCTTTTGTTGTTGTTAGGTGCCATCGAGTCAGTACCGACCCATAGCAACCTTATGCACAGCAGAACCAAACACTGTCCGATCCTGGGCCAACCTCACTATTGTTGCCACGCTTGAGTTCATCAATGCTGCCACTTGGCCAGTCCATCTCGTTGGGGGTCTTCCTCTTTTCCTCTGACCTCCCCCTTACCTAACATGATATCCTTCTCCAGTGACTGCTCCCTCCTGACAATATGTCCAAAGTATGAGAGACGAAGCTTGGTCATCTTGGCCTCTAAGGAGCAGTCTGGCTGCACTTCTTCCAAAAATGGATCTATTGGTTCTTTTGGCAGCCCATGGCAATTTCAATATTCTCCTCCAACACCATAATGCAAAGGCATCAATTCTTCTACGGTCTTCCTTATTCACTGTCTAGCTTTCGCATGCATATGAGGTTATTGAAAATACCATGGCTTGGGTGTACCTTAGTCCTCAAGCTTGACGTCTTTGCTCTTCAACACTTTAAAAAGGTCTTGTGCAACAGATTTTGCTTAATGAAGTACATCATTTGATCTCTTGACTGCTGCTTCCGTGAGTGTTGTTAGTTGATCCAAAAAGAATGAAGCCCTTGACAACTTTATTCTTTTCTCCATTGATAAGAATGTTGTTTATTGGTCCAGTGGTGAGGATTTTTGTTTTCTTTACATTGAGATGTAATCCATACCGAAGGCTGTGTTATTTGATCTTCAACAATGTTTTAAGTCCTCTTCACTTTCAGCAAGCAAAGGTTGTTAATGAGTCTTCCTCCTATCCTAATGACACATTTTTCTTCATAGAAACCAGCTTCTCGGATGATTTGTTCAGCATACAGGTTGAATAAGTACAGTGAAAGAATACAACCTTGTCACACACCTTTTTTAACTTTAAACCGTTCAATGTTCCCATGTTCTGTTTGAACAACTGCCTCTTGGTCCAGGTACAGATTCCTCATGAGCACAATTAAGTGTTCCGGAAAACTCATACTTCGCAATGTTGTCCATAGCTTGTCATGATTCACAAAATCGAAAGCCTTTGCATAGTCAGTAAAGCACGGGTAAACATTTTTCTGATATTTTCTGCCTTCAGCCAAGATCCATCAGACATCAGCAATGATATCCCTCGTTCCACTCCCTCTTCTGAATCCGGCTTGAACCTCTGGAAGTTCTCTGTCAATGCATGATTGTAGCCATTTCTGTATTGCCTTTAGCAACACTTTACTCGCTTGAGATACCAAAGAGATTGCCCGATGATTTCTGCATTCTGTTGGGTCATCTCTCTTTCGAATGGGCACAAATATGGATCTCTTCCAATCAGTCAGCCAGATAGTTGTCTTCTAAATTTCTTGGCAGAGATGAGTGAGTGCCTCTTGAGCTGCCTCACTTTCTTGAAAGACTTCAATTTTTATTCCATCAATTCCTGTTGCCTTGTTCTTTGCAAATTCCTTCAGTGCACCTTGGACTTCCTCCCTATATATCATTGGCTCTTGATCATAGGCTACCTCTTGAAAAGGTTGAATATTAACCATTTCCTTTTGGTACAGTGACTCTGTGTATTTCTTCCATCTTCTCTTGATGCTTTCTGCATCATTCAGTAATCTTCCCAGGGAATCTTTCAATAATGAAAGTCAAGGCTTGAATTTTTTCTTCAGTTCCTCCAGCTTGAGAAATGCTGATAGTGTTCTTCCTTTTTGGTTTTCTGATTCCAGATCTTTGCACATTTTATTGTAATATTTGCTTTTGTCTTCTCAAGCTGATCTTTGAAATTTCTGTTCAGCTCTTGGACCTCCTCATTTCTTCCATTTGCTTTAGCATCTCTACACAGGAGAGCAAATTTCAGTGTCTCTTCTGAAATCCGTTTTGACCTTGTCCTTCTTTCTTGTCTTCTCAATGACTTTTTGCTTTTTTCATGTATGATGTTCTTGATGTCATCCCACAACCCTTCTGGGTTTCGGTCTTTAGTGTTTAATATATCATATCTGTTCTTCAGATGATCTCTACATTCACGTGGGATATATTCAGGGTCCTATTTTTGCTCTCGTGGACTTGTTTTAATTTTCTGCAGCTTCAGTTTGAATTTGCATGTAAGTAATTGATGGTCTGTTCCACAGTCTGCCCCTGGCCTTGTTTTGACTGATGATATGGAGCTTTTCCATCTTCTCTCTCTGCAGATGTAGTCAGTTTGATTTCTGTTTTCCATCTGGTGAGTTCCGTGTGTATAGTCGTCTGTTATGCTGTCTAAAAAAGGTATTTGAAATAAACAAATCATTGGTTTTGCAGAATTCTATTATTCATTCTCCAGCATCATTTCTCTCACCAAGACCATATTTACCAACTACTGATCTTTCCTCTTTGCTCCCAACCTTTGCATTCTAATCACCAGTAATTATGAATACATCTTGATTGCATGTTTTATCAATTTCAGATTGAAGAAATTGGTAGAATTCTTCTGTTTCATCCTTACTGGTTTTAGTGGTTGGTTCATAAATTTTAATAATAGTGGTATTAACTGGGCTTCCCTGTAGGCGCATGGATATTATACTATTACATACAGCGTTGTACCTCATGACTGATCTGGATATGTTCTTTTTGACGATGAATGCAACACCATTCCTCTTCAATTTGTCATTCTTGGCATAGTAAACCATGTGGTTGTCAGATTCAAAATGGCCAATACCAGTCCATTTCACCTCACTAATGCCTAAGATTTTGCTGTTGATGTGTTCCATACTTCGTACATTCCATGTTCCAATTTTTATTGGATGTTTACAGCTGTTTCTCTTCATTTTGAGTTTTGCCCCATCAGCAAATGAAGGTCCTACAGGCCTTTCTCCCACTAGCTTTACTCCATTCACGTTATCACAGTCATCTCTACTTTGAGGAGGCAGCTCTTCCCCAGTCGCATTTTGAGTATCTTCCAACTTGAGGGGTTCATTTTCCGGCACTATGTCTGACAGTGTTTTTCTGCTATTCATAAGGTTTTTAGTGACTAAAGATTCGGAAGCTCATCTGAAACCTGTCCACCATGGGTGAACCTGGTGGTCATTTAAAATACCGGTGGCATAGCTTTCAGAATCACAGCAACTCACAAGCCACCACAGTACAACAAATTCTGTTGTCTTTTAAGCTCAATGTTTTAGTCTTAATTTTAAAATATTTTGATTTTTGTTTTGTTTATATTTAATTTTTACTGTGAATTAAGTGAAAATTTGCAGGGCAGATTATCAGTTTTACATTCAACAAATCATATACTTTGTTTCATTACAATGATTATAATCCCCTCCATGTACCATCAGTTAACAGTATTTCTCTCTATTCATCTTAGCTCTTTTTTTTTTTAAACACTCAGACATATGTACTAATTTACATTCTGAAAGTCTGCCTCCTGGCCGCCAGCTCTCAGTCCCTTTTGATATTTGTTTTATTATGCTTAATAATGTTTAAATATACTTGCCCTACCATATGACAGAAGTCCATTATAATATTCATATACATTTTTAAATCAATTCAGTCTGGGTAAATATTAATGTGGAAACATAAAGCTAACAGTTTCTGAAATGAATTTGAAAAAAAGTAATGAATAGAAGGGTAAATTTTTACAAAGAATTCAGCAGCTCTTATTTTAATTTTACAGTTTTAATGGACATTATGTTTTGTTTTAGTTGGTAGTAGCCTTACTTCTGTGTCTTTTGGACTGGATCATGGCCTTACCTCTAAAGACACTACTCCAACCAATCCACACTACAGGATCAGAAAACAATAAAACAGAAAAATCTGTTCTCAGTTGTATTTATAAGGTAAACTTCCTTGCTTTGTTATTTATTTAGTAATCAAGGGCTTATTAAAACCTAAAGAGAAAGCATTTCTCTGTATTGCGTTTTCATTGCTTTAGAGGTCGATATTTTTAAGTATGTAGATTTGTCTTAATATTTTCTATGGACCTGTTTCAGTTTTGAGGCGTCACATTTTTGTTAAATATGATAATTATTTGTTAACCTTACCATTCTTATTTTTAAGGAATATTAGGTTTTATTTTGATTGAGGAGCTAAATTTTATTGCATTAAAATTTTTTTACTAAGTACTGGTGTTAACAGTTGACTTTTTTCTTCATGTGACATTTATTTATATTTTCAGAGAAAACTTGGTGTATTTTTTTCTATTTTCAGGTTTTACATGGGTGTGTTTATGGAGCTCAGTGTTTTAGCAATCCAAGGTATTTTCCAGTAAGCCTGTCTGACTTGGCATCAGTAGATTATGATCCTTTCATGCATTTGGAAAGTCTGAAAGAACCAGAACCTCTACACTCTCCTGATTCAGAAAGATCTTCTAAACTCCAACCAGTAACAGAAGGTAAAATGAGTTTTCTTTAGGATGTTGTTGCTTGTATTATCCTGAAGTATATTTTGATGCCATGTATGGAAATAATGGAGGAAGAACATATAACTTTCTTTAGAGTTTTTTACCTAATCATGTATGTTAGCATGAAAATGAAGATGTGAAGTTAAGAGGTCAGGGAAGTGTGGGACTAGAGTTTTGTGCTATTTATTGTTGGCAATATTTGCTTTGAATACAAATATACAAATGAAATAAGGTTGTTGTTGTTGTTGTTGTGAAGTTCCTTCCAGTTGGTTCCGACCCATAGTGACCCTGTATAGGGTTTACAGGGAGCAGCTAGTGAGCGTGAACCACTTACCTTGCGGTTCAAACGGCTTTACAATGTGACGCATTAACCTGCAGTGCCACACAGGACTCCGAAATAAGATTATAACGTCTAAATTATAGTTCAGATATAAATAGACCAAAAAACCAACCGAAACCTCTGTCACCAATTCAATTCCAACTCATACCGACCTTTTATAGGGATTCCAAGACTGTTTATCTTTATAGGAGTAGAAAGCTTCATCCTTCTCCTGTGGAGCAACTGGCAGATGTGAACTGCCAACCTTGTGGTTAGCAATCTTGTGCTTATCCTACATTGCCACCAAGGCTCTTTAGATACAGTAGCACTACATAAGAAAGCAAGGAGCTCTTAAGACATAGTGGGTTAAGCAAAAGGTTGGTCCTTTGAACCCACCAGATGTTCTGCTGGAAGAAGATGAGTCCATTTGCTTCCATAAAAACGTACAGTCTTGGAAGCCCTGTGGAGTAGTTCTGCACTGTCCTAAAGGGTCACTGTGAATCCGAATGGGCTCCCCTCAATGAGTGGTTCTGTAAGAGAATAGTGGTCGTAGTAGTTACATGCAGCTCATAGTGACCCAGTATAAGGTTTCTGAGGAGTGGCTGGTATCACCAACATTTTGGTTAGCAGTCTAGTGCTTATCGACTTCAGCACCACACCAGGATATAAGAATATGCAGAGTCACAAAAAAGTTGTACAATAAATGGTAGTGGCATCTGTATCATTTCCTTTAAATTTGTAATAAAATAGAATGTTTATTTTACTTAAAAATAAAATTACATGAAAAGATTAGTTGCTTTTTATATTTTTTAAGGTGTAAAATAGTAAAGTTTTAGTTAAACACAGTTTAGTTTATTTCTTAAGCAGTACAATAAATAGAATTTTTCTTATTTAAAAGGAGGTGTTCTCGTGTGGCTTTGTAGGATCAGCAATGGACTACTGACCTCAAGGTTGGTGGTTGAAACCCACCAGTTGGTCCTTGAAAACCCTATACAGGGTTGCTATGAGTAAGAATTGATTTGACAGCACTTAACAACACCAATGTAAAAGGACATTTTAGTGTGTTTCATACAAAGTTTATTGTACCCATATTAAAAGTCACTGTAAATAAAGCAAGTAAAAAGTGAAGTGTATGAGCTTAATATTGATAGCAAATACGCTGTGTAATGCTATTCTCTAAAGTATCAAGTTGTTTCCTTTGGATTTCCTTAGCAGTTTTAAGGACAAGATAAATACAGACCCTTTTAGAAACAGATGTGAGCTAACAGCAGGTGATTATATGATTTATAGTGTGCTGTGGTTTTTTGTTTTTTTTTTCTTTTAATATGACAAAAATGGCTAATCATTGTGTCCTTATCTAAGGCATGCTTCATCATCTTCAAGTACTTTTTGGCTAAAGAATTCTAAACATAGAGTGTCCCTAATAAGCTCAGTATTGGATTGAGCAAATTCTGGTTTGAAAACAATTGGCAGGAGTAGCTGTAATTATTAAATTTACTAAAGAATAAAGCAAGGTACTGAAGTTGGCTTTTTGTCAAATGGCATTAGTCTTATTAGCAAAAAGTCATCATTTGCAGGGTCAGAGTGAAAGGAGGCTCCAAAGGATTCATTCTGCCCTAATTATAGTTTCACCTACACATATTATGCAAAGCTAATATTTAAAGCATTTGCCAAAATTAACTTCCTCTGCATGTTCTATTATAGTGCAGTGAATTGCAGTAGCTTTTTATGTCTTGCTGCTTTTATATCCCGTAATCATCTGTAATTATGGATTTGCTGCAAATGTCGTAGGGTTTGTTTAATCTGACAATCTGAAAAGACAACCCTGAATAGACTTATTTAAATGAATGCTAGTTACACAAAGCCTTAGAAGCATCGATATCTTCATTTTACATATTCTCACAAGATTTGTTATGTTAGATTTTCATTTTGAATTTCTAAATTACAGTTTCCCATATCTTTTTAAATTTAAGTAGATAAGTGAAAGAGAGATATATATGGCCTATAATTTTTAGCTCAAAAATAAATTTAATACTGTTTGAGGCAAGCATCTGATTTTTTGGAATACTTTTATCTCCAGTTCCTCTGCCATCACCTGACACCTATACCCTTGTCTAGCACCAACTTGGTTCTCCCGTATTCTAATAGGTACCAATCTTGTTGATCCAGTTTTATGGGTAGCCACATTGTTGCTGGTTTGCTACTATGAACATTTGTACGAAATTTTTATTTCTTTTTCAATTCTTTCTGAAGTAAATTCAATTTCAAATGTCTCTGCATGGAGGCAGAGATGGGGACATGGAAGAGGGAGCATCTGAGGACTCTAGATTCATGGAAAGAGAGGGACTGAGAGCTGGTGGCCAGGAGGCAGACTTGCAGAATGTGCCCTTTGGTGTAAATTGTTATATATGCCTGAGTTTAAAAAGAAAAAAGCTAAAGTGAATAAAGAGAAACACAGTTAACTGGTGTACATGGAGGGGATTATAATCATTGTAATGAAATAAGGTATATGATTTGGTGCATGTAAAACTGATGATCTGCTCTGTAAACTTTCACTCAATCCACAATAAAAACCTTAAAATAAAATTAAAAAATTTATCAACTTGTCCGATTTATAAGTTGAGAGATTTTTATCCATATATATAAATTTAGAGATGCAATCTAGGAAAGACAATGCTTCTACCTACCTACATCTGAAATCCAAATTTATATTTCTAAAACGTTCTCTATGTTAATAATTGCTACAAATTTAAACTTCATTCTCATAATTTCTTCCTGTGGGAAGAGTGTGTATGTATGATGGGCTAGGAATAAGGAAAATAATAGAAGAATCGATGCATATGAATTATAGTGTTGTTGAAGAATATTGAAAGTATCATAGACTTTAAGAAGAATAAACACATCTGTCTTGGAAGACGTACAACCAATTTGCTCCTTGAAAGAAAGAATGACAACACTGTCTCTCATACTTTGGACATTGATCAGGAAAGGCCGGTCCCTGGAGAAGGATGTCATGCTTGTTAAAGTGGAGGGTCAGCAAAAAAGAAGTCAACCAATGAGATGGATTGACACAGTGCAAGCAACAATAGGATCAAACATAAAATTGTGAGGATGGGTAGTATTTTATTCTGTTGTTTATAACGTCACTATGAGTTGGGATCGATTTGATAGTACCTGTGAACAACACCATATATCAGTGATTTGCCAAAAGAAAAAGACAGTTTAGCAAAAGATAAAGTTATGGAAATTAAATATATCGCATGGGGAAGCTGACAGTCTCTTCAACAGATGGTGCTGGCAGAACTGGAAAATGATATGCAAAAGATTAAAACAAGACCTTCACCTCACACCTTACACAAAAACCAACTCAACATGGATTAAGGACTGAAATGTGAATCCCAGAATTCTGAAGGCCATCAATGAAAAAATTAGGACAAATGTGAGGGCACTAATTCTGGGAATACACAGACTATAAAACATTTTGAAAACCACACAAACAAAAGCAGATAAAATAGATGAGTGGGACATACTAAAAATTAAAAACTTACGTGCATCAAAAGACTTCACCAGAAGAGCAAAAAGGGAACCCACAGAATGGGAAAAAATCTTTTGCAATGACCCACAGAACTAGAGTTGCCATGGCAACCAGGCTGAGGCTTACATTGGATTGGTGTTTGCTGTGGGCAGTTATCACAGCTCTAAAAGCGATTTGTAACATTGGCTGTCCTGACTGGAATAACTGTGTCCTGAGCATTTCTGACTCTGACTTGTAACCTGTAAACTTCCCTAATAAACTCTAACTGTGAGTATGGGGTCTAATTTTTTTGGCCACTGCAATGAATTATTGAACCCATATGAGTAGAGAATGCTATGAGAGGGATGGTTGGTGCACAGGCATATCACTTTACTTCTGTGAACCCATTTGTACTTCTGTACAAAATAAAGAATACTGGCTAGATGATCTCAAAGACCCTTTCCCGTGTGAATGCTTACTACATTCTTAAGTTGTAATTGTTGTTCTTTAGTGCCGTGGAATCAGTTCTGACTCAAGAGAGACCCTGTCTAAGGGTTTCAGCAGAGCAGTTGGTGGGTTTGAACCACCAACCTGTAGCTAGCAGTCCTGTGCTTATCCTACAATGCCACCCCAGGACTAAGTAGACAAAGAAAAATAGACACTCGATTCAAACTATTCCTGATTCTCATCATCCAGTAACAGATATGCTTTTACTTTGCTTACAGTCTTGAAAATGTAAGATTGAATTAAGGCTAATCATTTAGTGTTGTATAGTTTTTGAGCAACTGATTTCCAGAACTAGCCATAAACCTAATTATAGAGTAGCTCAATATTACTGGAACTTCTAGAAGAAACTGAGAAATATTCATATTTACATGTATGTGTGTATTGGCCAATAGTAAAAAATGGTAAAGATTAAAATGTTGATATTTAGTAGCATTTCAGAATCAACCAGAGAAAACTTTTTTTATAGTTGTTACATGCAGAAGTTTTTATTTATTATTAATGGCATAGTAGCTGGTTGGTTGATGACTGTGGATCTGCCCCAGGGTATAGGTTCTGCATCTTGGAGGCTACAGCCTTCAAAATGTAACATTATCTTCTTTTATGTATCTTTTTCAATTATCATGCCAGCAGTGCACAAGCTAGTCTTCTTCCCTTTATTAAACATCTGTTCTATTAAGGTATAATTTATGTAAAATAAAATATATCCTTTTTGGTAAGGGAACTTTATTAATTTCTTGATTATTATAGTGGCTACACAATTGTATATAATTAATAAAATTCATCAAACTAAACACTTGAAATTGGGAAATTTATTAAATGTAGGTAATAGTTTAATCATTATGACACTTACAAAGCTATATTTATTCTGTCAAATTCATTTTTATTCTGGTAGCTGGGTAATGTTTTCAATTGATTATCATTCAGAGACTATAAACAATACTCAGAACCACTCTGTTATTAAACAGTACTTAAAGTTACTCTTGTTACTATGGTAGAAATACAGATCCATGACCACTCTGTATCATATCTAAAGTGAAATAGTGAAGGATACTGTAAATACACACACAGTTAAACATCCTCTTCTGACATGACTAGTACTTCTTTCCAATGACAATACTCTTCCCATGTCCTAGATAAAAACAGCAAGATATATGTCACTGAATTGTCCCCACTTCCATATCACTCAGTTTTGGTTTCCACATAAACCCTCCTTAGAATCATACTAGTGATCTTTGTCTCAAGGACTATGATAAGTTATTTTCTATCGCCACTTTGTCCCACCTCCCTTTTCTCTCTGTCATTCTCTCATGTTCTCTATTTCCTTCTGCCTTCCCTCCATCATTTGAATCCTGACATTAGAAATCTTGCCTTCACAGGACCCTTACTTTTAATTCTTTAGTTGACTTGTTTTCTACAATTTTTTTTTAATTGCTCAAATGCATATTTTCCCCATATGTGTGCCTTCTGTAATGTAGTTGTTGTTGTTACGTGCCGTCAAGTTAATTCCAACCCATAGTGACCCTGTATAGGGTTTATGAGGAGCAGCTGGTGAGCTTGAGCCGCCAACCTTGAGTTCAAAAGGCTTTACAGTCTGGCACATTATCCGCAGCACCATACCAGGAGTAATGTAGTTAGGGAATGAAAAAAAAAAAATGTTTCTTGCATATTGCTAACTGCTCAGTCTAGACTACATTAATCTAAAAGATTACTTTAGAAAAATGTAATAGGCAAGCTTGTTGTTAAGTACTATCTAGTCGGTTCCAACTCACAGCAACACTGTGTAGTATTTCCGAGGAGCTGCTGTTAGGTTACAACTCCTGACCTTGTGGGTCAGTACTTATCTCACAGTACCACAACAGCAGGTCCATAAAATATGTTTACCTTTAAAATCAAGTTTCTTTGCCAATATATACTGACTGTACTCATTCATTCACTGTTCAAATTGATCCTGACTCCTCAGGTTTGGTGGACAATGACTTTTCTCTGAGACACTTTTCCATCATGAATAGAAGCCAGAATTAAATGACATTTACTACATTTTGCAAACTGTGTCTCTGAATCTGGACTCTAACCTGGAGATAAGAAACTTATCAGATGGATTTTTTCTTTTTAATCTGTGGTTTATTGATTTCAAGTGATGGATACTTTTGATCCTACTTTGAAGCTAAAATCTGCATTTGAAGTCTTTAGTTTACATTATGGATTCATAAGCAAAAGTTTTGCAAAGAGTTTTCTTATAAAATTTCTCCAAATAATGGCTCTCCTATTCTGTGCTGTCATTTCTGTAGTATAGAATCTAAATTGGAAATAAAAGTATTTACTCAAATACTTGAATGTGATTTTGACAATATGTTTAAATCCCTGTTTGTTGTCTAATGTTTCATTGTTAATGTGACTTCCTAGGAAACAACAGTATTCCCATTCATATATATTTTTTATTTCCAGTGAAAACCCAAATGCAACAAGGATTAATCTCTGTAGCAGCTCGCACTGTGATTACACACCTGGTAAATTACTTGGGCCACTATCCAATGACTGGTGGTCCTGCTATGTTAACAAGCCAGGTATGTGAAAACCATGACAATCATTACAGTGAAAATCCTGAACTTTCTCCAGAGCTCTTTGAGAGTCCAAATATCCAGTTCTTTGTGTTGAACAATACAACCTTAGTGTCTTGTATCCAGATCAGATCAGAAGAGAGTATGCCTGGAGGAGGATTATCTGCCGGCCTTGCATCAGCCAATTCAAATGTCAGAATCATAGTACGTGATCTCTCTGGAAAATATTCATGGGACTCTGCCATCCTGTATGGACCACCTCCTATAAGTGGCTTATCAGAACCTACATCCTTCATACTTCCATTGTCTTACCATGAGAAGCCAGAAGATCTTCCTACATCTAATGAGTGTTTAGAAGAGACAATAGAAAAAGATGGACAGTCCCTACAGTTTAAAAGAAGACTTAGAGAAACGGTACCAACCTGGGATACAATAAGAGATGAAGAAGATGTTCTTGATGAGCTCTTGCAGTATTTAGGGGTTACCAGTCCTGAATGCTTACAGAGAACTGGAATCTCACTTAACATTCCCGCTCCACAACCTGTATGCATTTCTGAGAAACAAGAAAATGATGTTATTAATGCTATCCTTAAGCAACATACAGAGGAAAAAGAATTTGTTGAGAAACATTTTAATGACTTAAACATGAAAGCTGTTGAACAAGATGAACCAACACCTCAGAGGCCTCAGTCGGCATTTTATTATTGCAGATTGCTACTTAGTATATTGGGAATGAATTCCTGGGACAAAAGGTAAGGATGAAGGAGAAAACTTTTCTCTTATTTTTTTAATAATATTTTTAGTTATCTTTTTATCAAGCATAAATTAGTCTGTGTTCCTTTCCTCAGTAAGTTTTAATGAGTTCTTTGACCAGTAGTCAGATTTTTAATTTTTTTAGACTACTTAGTTATTTCAGTTTGTAAAAGGAAAATGAAAAGGTAAATTAAGCCAGTAAATGAAATATTAACATTTTCAGGATAGATAGATAGAACTGTCTAACTCAGAAATTATAGCCCATTTATGATCAGAAACATTTTTAATTTTTCAACCTTTGTATAAGCATAATTACCAACAGCAATGTAATCATTTCTGATTTGAAACAGAAATTGACTCAAGATTCAGGATCAAATAAAAAAAAGAATCTGGATTATTTATTTATTTTTAATGTTTTGTTTTCTTACTCATGTCACAAAGCTTCAGTAGAAAGTTAAACACATAAAGCATTTAAGAAAGGTTTATATTAAATGAACATATCAGAAGACATGGGTTTGACATTCCTTTGAACCTTAGGCTACATGCCACAAATATGGGAATAATTCTCATATTACATTATGGTGAGAATTAATGTAAATGATCTAAATGTACACTAACAAGCCTAACAGTAAAGTTGTTCATTAGTATAAAGCATTAATACACATTTATTTTTAAATTTCTAAGGTAATAAAAACTATACAGTAGTGGTAGATGAAGCATTATTGTAATGGAATGTTGTATTCAGTTAATAGTAGGAGGGGAGATCAGATCATGAAATAAATAAACCTTAAAGTATCTCAAGTGTATGTGAAACGTTTGGCTTATTGTATAAATGCATTTGAAACAACCAGCTGTTCTGCGGGAGAAAGATGAGGCTTTCTGCTTCCGTAAAGATTTATATCCTCAAAAACCCTGTACAGGGTCGCTATGAGTCGGAACTGACTTCATGGCACATAACAACAACAACTCTGTTTTGTGTATGGAAGGTTCCTCTGTTGACTCCTAAGAAAAATTACAGTTGGGAAGCTATATTTTACCGTAGCAAGCATTGAGTTGTTAACAAAATTGTTACATATTTAGCCCCTATAGAGGAGTCTTCATGTGGCATTGTTGGGTAATGTGCTGGACTGCAAAGTCCGCTTGAACCGCAAGGCCAGCAGTTCAAGTTCCCCAGCTGCTCCTCAGAAACCCGATGCAGGGTTGCTATGAGTTGGAACCCAACTCTATGGCACGAACTACAACAACAAACAGTCCCTATAGAACAGATTTTTTCTAGTTTATACATTGTTTCATAATGTAAAATATACAGATAATATAAAACCAGGAAGAAAGTGAATTCCATCTGGATTATATTTGCTTTCTTAGTAATGATTAGATTTTTGTGAGCATTTTATTTCTCAGAATATACAAATTTCTCACATATTTTTATGAAGTTTTTTAAGAACCTACATGTACTTGTACCATCTTTCTGAATGTGAGTTTGAGAAATGGCATCTACAAGGAAAAACTGAAGTGGCCAATAGGTATAATCCACTAGCAGAAATACGTGAGGGCTGGGGTAGAAATAATGACATATTCTTTACATTTTTTTTTAGGATCTGTTCTCCTTTGTATTAGAAGTATGAAAAGGCAAGAAAAGTATAAGCATTGCATGAGTAGAGTGGAAAGTATTTCCGGGACTGTCATGTCATTCACTGCAAAGGTGATGAAAATGTTTATAAATCTCTCTATTTAGGAGGAGCTTTCATCTCCTGAAGAAAAATGAAAAGCTACTTAGAGAACTTAGAAACTTGGATTCAAGGCAGTGGTAAGTTGTTGGAAATATCTTAACATTCATAATAATAATTATTTCTCTGTTTATATGTGAATAATACTGTATTATTGAATTGTGACTTTTAAAAAGAAGCTATCTTTATTTATAGTTTGCTGTTGTTGTTAAGTGCCGTTGAGTCGCTTCTGACCCATAGTGACCTGTGTAGGGTTTCCAAGGAGCTACTGGTGAGCTTGAACCTATGATGTTGCAAGTCAAACCAACTTTACAATCCAGCAGTACCACACTTCTTCAGAAACTGTATATAGTGTCACTATGAGTCGGAACCTACTAGAAAACTTTTCATTATGCACATTGACAACAAGCCCTTCATTATGGTTAGAAGGCCGTCTCTAACCTCACTAAGAGCTAAATTCAAGTTATTGGTTTATATGAAAGGATTCTGTTTCTACCTTAGATATAATAAATTAAATTTTTAGAAAAAAATAGGATTATGTTAAAACATTTGTTATCTTGGAATAGTTTATACAGTTTAAGATTATTTTCTAAATCACACATAACTTAATTGAACTTGTAAAATATCTTTTGGTTTTCCCATACTTAGGCATTTCAAATATATTCTTTTTAATTAGTCTAAGACTGGTGTTTATACTAGTCTAAGGGGACCCAAGTGAAATGACTAATGAATGCAGGCTAATACCTACTAAAAATATTAATGGGGCTAAGAAGATGAGTACAGTTTTCTATTAAATGATGGATGGATATGTATTTCTATAAATCTGATTTCTTTCTTTTAAGCTCTTTGATGTATGTCTACATAATATGTAGTTTATAATGTAGGTTATGACTGTTATGTGATTTCTAAGTTTCTAGTTTATCTGGACAAGATTGCCAGGCAAATATTTCCAGGGAAATACAAAATATTACGTAAATAAATTTCTTACAAGTTCAAACAATGTACTTTTGCTGCCTTTTTTTACTAGGCTTATAAAAATTTATGGAGAGGTGCTTTTGGCACTACAAATAGAGACATATTAGTAAAACAACATTCAGGATAGCATCGTTATTTAGAATACCTGTATTTCTAAGACCTGAATTCCACAATCTCCTGAACATCCATATTTTTCACTTTATCACATCTTCTTCAACTCGTGTTCTATACTTCATTCTCTCCTATTTTTTGCTTTTCCTAGTCCCACAATTGTTAGGACTTCTGTCAGCAAGATCCCACCCTGTCAGCCATTGTTTTAAGTATCCTGTCTGACACCCTCAAAATGATTCTTCTGCTTGTGTTTGTGCACGCATGGCCATAATGAACTTTTTAATCAGAGTTACTCCTTTTTTTTATTAAAGTTTTTGTTGTGAATTATGTGATAGTTTACATGGGAGACCATTAGCTTTACATTCATCCTATCTTATTTCATTTCATTGCAATGATTACAGTCTCCTGCATGAGTCATCAAACAACGCCGCAAGCCTGCCTGCCAGCCGTCAGCACACAACCACTCTCCCTCCCTGAGTCTAAAGTCCCCAGCCACTCCATCTCTCCACATCATCATCTGTGCCTCCATCTCTGCCATCACTGCTTCTATGGATAGGGTCCCTCACTCCGCTTTTCTCCCTTGATGGTTCCAGGGACCTCTGCTCCTGGACTGCAAAATCAACTACTGCCCTCCTTTTGTTATAAAAAGTCTACCTTTACCTTTCCAACATTCACAGTCAGTCCTGATAGCAAGCATTCACTGTTGAACCCCAAGAGTCTTATCCTCATCTCCTTTCATCAGCCCCATCTAGACAGGTTGGAAACCACTCAGTGGAGATTCTACCTTTCCCTGGACCCTCTGGAACCAGGTTCCCTGTTGGAAGCTTGTAAACCAGTCACTTCTTGCCTTTGTAGCCCCCCCATTCTGGGTAGCCAATGTCCAAGTTGCCCATCCCTGCCTACCCTGTGTACCAAAGGAGTGGGAATGATCTTCACTGTAAAGATTTGTTCCCTCCTTTGACCTACTCCATCAACAAGCATCGGTGAGATTCATCAAATTGTAGCGGATTACTCTTTTTTCCTCTTCTTTCTTCCTCTAGTTGAGTTCTGATCATCCAGCCATTGAAGCCATTGCATCTCCCCTCAACTTCATATCAGCTGGACGCTTCACACTCTGTTCTGGTCCTCTGTGACCATGTTCAGGGTTATTCTTAACATCTGTTTTTTCTACTCCTAGGCTATAGTATGTTAGTAAAGAAAATTCTGAAACCATTCTTATCAAAGAATTGTCTCAATTCATGTTAATTCACTTCAACAATGCTTTCTCTACTATTTGGCAGATTTCTTACTTAATCCTTGTTTTACAGTGCATAAGTACTTTGTATTGTGTTTCTCAGAGAGATTATTATAAAATAACCTTTTGTTTTGGCTCACTCATCGTCCTGGTTTGGTGCTGTAGGGTGAGCACTGTTTAGCTGCAAGGTAGGTAGTTCAAACACACCTTCTGCTCCTGGGAAATCCTATACAGGGTCACTATGAGTCGGAACCTACTAGAAAACACTTCATTATGCACATTGACAGCAAGCCCTTCATTATGGTCAGAAGACCGTCTTTACTCTAACCTCACTAAGAGCTAAACTCAAGTACTTGGTCTATATGAAAGGCATTTTGCTAGAGGAGTGGTTCTTACCCTTTCTTCCCCAATATATTCATATTTTAGCACATATTCCTCACCTCTCTCATTAATTAAATCCAGTGACTGATGGACTGGGGAACTAGGTGTAAACAAACCATCTACCTGCCATCATTGTTCTATAGAGTGCAAATTGAATGAGAAAACAATCAGGCATTTCAGACATCAAATAATGCTATATTTTCCTCTCTTCTTTAAAATTCCTACATTGTCATCTACTGCTTAACTTTTGTTTCAAAAAAGTATTTATTTATTTTTAAACTAGACATAGACCCAAGATGCAGTTGTTTGAACAGAACAAGGGGACACTGGAAAGTGTCCAGTGCCAGAAATCAGGAAAGGTGTGTGCCAGAGTTGTATTCTCTCAATATACTTACTCAGTCTGTATACTGAGAAATAATCTGAGAAGCTGTTATATGAAGGAGAACGAGGCATCTGAATTGGTGAAAAACTCATTAATAACCTAAAATATGCAGCTAATACAACCTTGAATACTGAAAGTGAGGAGGACTTAAAATTCTTACTGATGAAGATTAGAGACCACAGCCTTCAGTATGGGTTGCACCTCAAAAAAAAAAAAAATCCTTACCAGTAAACCAGTATATAACATCATGATACATGGAAAATAAAATTGAAGTTGTCAAAGACTTAATTTTTTTGGACAATGCTCATGGAAACAATAGTCAAGAAATCAAACGACATATTGCATTAGACAAATCTGCTACACAGCTCTTTAAAGTGTTCAAGAGCAAAGAACAGTTTGAGGACTGAGGTGCACCTGACCCAAGCCTTGATATTTTCAGTTGTTTCATATGCATGTAAAAACTGGACAACAAAGAAAGAAAACCATAGATGAATTGATGCATTTCAGTTATGGTATTGGAGAAGAATATTATAAGTACCATGGACTGCTAAAAGAACAAACAAGTCTTTGTTGGAAGAAGTAGAGCTATAATTCTTCTTGGATGGTAAAACTTAAGTCTATCATACTTCAGACATATTATCAGGTGGGACCAGTACCTGGAGAAAGATTGTTGCTTGGTAAAGTGGATGGTCAGTGAAAAAGGCCCCCTTATCCCCCACTGAGATGCATTGGCACAGTGGCAGCAGCAACGGGCTTAAGCTTAATAACAATTGTGAGAATGGTGCAGGACTAGGCAGTATTTTGTTCTGTTGTAAGTAAGGTCACTATGAGTCAGAACTTACTCGACGGCATCTAACAACAACATACCTCTTTTCCTGCCATCTCTGTCCTAGAATCTTCGTAAAATTTTCCCTTCTGTTTTGTACTTGTTACTCCTCTTAACATAAACATGTTTGTATTTATCCTGTCATTCGTCCCACCAGCATTGTGTGAAAGCATATATATCTAGCATTAACCTGGCAAGCACAAGGCATCTTTCTTAATCTTTATCACTTGAGAGACAGATCATAATATCTCTTTAATTTGTTACTCTATGGCTAGTGAGATTAATATAAGTAAGACATTTTAATCTCTTTTCAAGTTTTCTCTAGCATTATTTTTCTATTTAATAATTGGCATTTTTTACTGCTAAGAGTTTACCCCATCTTAAGAGTTCTCAGAATTTCACTTCCAGGCTTCCAGGCTTCCAGGATTCATGGCAGACAGTTGCGGCCTGAGAAACATAATGAAACAGAAACTGACACTGGACTGTGGTATGACCTGAGACCTAAAGGCTCAGCAGGAAAATGTCCCATGTGACTGGTGACTGCCACTGGCTTCCAACAAAGACAGGAGGGGACACCTGTGCAGCTTATCTCACAGCACTGGGATAAGCACCCCAGTGCTCTGTACTTACCAGTAAGGGATTCTGCAGGAATGGCTATGTCACTTCATGAAGGTTGCTTCCATAGGCTGGCTGAAGGAGTTCTGGAAGCTGGGCTCTTTTTACTATCCCTGTTGTTATCCACAGGGCAGGATGGATGAGTCTGTTCTCATCTGGAAAAAATATCAGTGTTATAGTCTCTGAAATAACTTTAGAGTCTTTTACCCAAAGGAGCCAAACTTCCCCTTTACCACAGGACCATTCACTCCTTTCTTTGGAGCAGTTTTGGGCCATACATTTGCCTTTGCATTTTCAACTCTCAGCATCTGACAGAGTGAGGAAAGGGGGGATAGAGGAATTTTAAGTGTTTCTAACTTCTTTTCCAAACTCCTACCTTGGTATTGACTGGTTTATAGGACAAAGAACCAGCTGTCACCTTTGAAAAGATCTTCAGGTACTTATCTCCTGGACACACTTTTCAGTCTAGTCCTCTCCTGACCAATAGAACTGATAGGAAGCCCACAAGAGTAAACTATAAGCTGTTTGCAAACAAGAAAGGTAAAGGACATTATAT